TTGCATTTGAAAAAAGGATTCCTAGAGAATGAGGTTATTTTTATCAAAAGGAATTAAATAATTGTGAATTTTCAGACATTAAAGGGAATACAAAGACTTATCAGCCTCATTCAAATCACAGTGGTACTTACTTCACCTATAGCTGTGGTCTCAAGCCTGGAGTTCTGTAGGATCACCCAGAAAGCTTCTTAAAAATACTGATAATTGAGATCCTACTCACCAGGATTCTAATTCAGTTGAGCTAGATTCAGACCTGGGCAAAGGTGTTTTTAAAAAAACTCCCCAGGCAATTCTGTTGTGCAGCCAGAGTTGGGAACCTCTGATTTAAACCTAAATTGGCCCGCTCTTGAGTAAAAGAAAAGCTGAATGCCATTGGAAGATCAAACCTTAAAGTGGAGTGGGGGTGGAGGGATGAGAGTCATTGATAAAGTGAACAGAAGTCTAAAAATAGGCCCAGCAACTTCATGAAAAGTGCTTGGCAGCACCAAAGGAAGAAGTAGTCTGTGGTTGATCCAGTCCCCCACTCCCAAATCCCCAGGGCCTGGCCCTGTTAGTCCTTAAATCTATTTTCCAGTTGGTTCACAGGTATGATAGCAGATAAAATCTCTGAGATAAGGGAATATGTACTCAAATGGTTGAAATACTCAAGTAGTAAATGTTCAGTTGACATAACTTGACATAGAAGATAAATGATTCTGTTAAAAATATGAAATCTGTGTTATTTATTTACATTTTATTGAACACCGTAGGTTAAGCATTTGTTATTAAGTTCCTTGCTTTATAAATCAACTCCAGGGTGGGCAAAGGGTCAATTCACATTTTGTAGTTGGATCATCTTTGTTTAAGCTTTGGCCTCCTCAGTCATGCCCTAGCAGCCCCTTGCTGCTGATGGCATAACAAAGCCCTCATTATGACAAAGTTTACTGTGTCACCACTGCTTGGTTTGACTCCTCTGTATGCCACCCGCCACTCCCACTTCAAAGATGGTCCTTCAGAAAAGTGGATAGAGAACATGGACCATCATTTACCCAGTAGTTGTCTTTTCTGAACACATTCTTAAACAATGCTTGCTGCAGAAACATTTTCCTGAGCAAGCAGTATCTCCTATTTTTAAGGAAAATCTCACTCATGAATAACAAGGCTTCCAGGAGTGACTAGTCACTGACAAGCTCCTCCTCCGAGATGTCTGGAGAAGACCCCAAACCAAGTACCCTGGGAAATCCCCGTGATCAAAAAATGGAAACAGGTTACACTCTGCCTTTTTAGAGATGCCTACAGAAATAGGGGAATGGACATTAGATAGTCCTCTGTCTTTGTTTGTATTTCTTTCTTTATGCATATATTTACCTTTATAAATAGCTACAGATTTATTTATTTACTTGATTAAAAGAAGGCCAATAATAACTACACCTGATCTGGCAGCATTGTAAAGTGTAATTAATATTTCTAAGGTATGAGTTGAACTCACAAGATGAAAGATTCTGTATATGGAATATGTGTTAAGTATCCAATCTGGTTTAGTCTGATAATGGCCATGATTGTATGGTGTCCTACATGTCATGACTTAATTATTGTCGTTTCATTGAGTTAACCTTGAAAAATGTATTTTATTGTTGAGAGTGTCTTTAATTTTGGATGGCAAACATTTAGGTATATAGTATATATGCTTATGTTTCAGCTAGCTCCAGTTAGTTGACTCTTGATGTAAAAGATGTTTTACAAAGTCATATGGGTTTTTCTTCTTTTTAAATTGGTCCAAGTTTCCAAAAACACACAAAGTTCTCGTCCTCATACTTCATATATAGTAATACCTAAGTTGGTTTGTGCCACAAAATGTAAAAGTTAAATTTAAAAAAATTCTTTAAATTACGTATCCATATTAAGGTGTGCTAAACATGTGAGGATTGACCTGGCTCAAAATAAAATAAGGTTGTAAAATGTGAAAAGGAAAATTATTATTAATCACTAAGAAAAAAAAAGAAAAATATTTTCCCACAAAACTCACGTAAGGGTATTTCATGGAGAACTGAAACAGTAGGTTAGACTACTGGATCATTCAAAGTGAGCTAGAGTTCAAGAGCCAAGGATCTGTGCTTTTAGAACTAACAAGTAATGCGGAAGACTAAAGGGCTTAGATAATCATGTCAGATTGGGAGCTATTATTACTAGTACGTAGTTGAATATTAACAGGACCCAGCTATCCTGTATGTTAGTATAAAAGTCTATCTTTGTATGGCACTAATATTTGTAATTTTTTAAATAGTTAGCACTTCCATACACCCTTCTAAGGAATAGAATTACATGAGTGAGAACAAGGCCCACTTTTTTTTTCTTGGTCTTGAAAAGTCCTTGAATAAAATGCAGATCATCCTTGAAAAATAACTCTTTGGGCCATTATCACCTGGCTCTTCCAAACATCCTTCTAAGGAATATAACCACAAGAATTAAAACAACCTTTATTATTAAATCCTGAAAAGTAGCCAGTTAATCCTCATTTATGAAGACATGCATTATTTTATTCTCATTCAATGAAATACTCAACTCAGTAAGTATTTACTCTGCATTTACAAAGTTGTTCAGCATGGTGTGAAATGTGAGACACAATTAAGGAGGGTTTAGTATTTTAGGACACCTTCCCTGGCCTTAAGAGTCTACAGTCTTATTTTGGGCAGGAAGAACAGTATGGTACATTCAAAACAGACAGGAGCCCATCTTCCCCCTTTCAGGCCTCTATCTCTCTTCTCTGTGGCCCTGGGGCTTAAATTCCATTAGAACCTTGCTCTCAGCCTGTTGACATCAAACACCACAAAGCTGATAGTGGCCCAAGGTGGTAACTTTTCCAGGAGGATTTGCTTGAAAAACCAAGGACTTTTCAAGAGGAAAAAAAAATTAAAAGTGTAAACAAAATTAGAAAACTGATTTATTCTTAGGGTTCTGATTTGTCTCTCTCAGACTATACAATTCAAACTGCTTTTACTCCACCCATAATCCTGCCACTACCCTGCCTTTAAAAACCGGGTTTGGTTTCCACACTGTCTACCCTAGCCTACAGGGTAGACTCCAAAATTTTTGGCTTCATGTGCCAGGCACCTTAGATCCTCATCTTTCTTACTTGCAACCAGACATATTAATTTCCAGCCTCACTGCACTTGCCATATCTCCATAAACAGCCCAGGCCCTTTCACAACTCCCTGCTTTCCCAGTTTCTACTGCCCAGAATGCCTTTCACCCTCTCCCCTCTTGTCTTTTTGGCACCTCCCTCTTTGAGACCCAGCATAAACGTCAATTCCTCTATGAAGCTCTTTCTATTCAAGTATTCCCCCAAATTCTTGTTTCCCCTGTTCCTACAGCACTTTGTACACTGGTTATAGTACTGTTATAGAAGTTAATTTTGAAATTCTTCCCCCACTGGCTTCTCAAATGCAGGAACTTGGTATAGTGTTAGGAATACAAACATTTTCAGTACATGCTCATTGAAATGTTTCTGCAGTTAGAAAGAGCAACAGGTTGGCAGATTTTATTTACGTTGTGTCCTCCTACCCCTCCCCCTATACCCCCGGATTAAATACTCTCAACAGGGAATTTACACGGTTTATTGTTGCTAATTTAACCAAATTTAGAGGTTTGTTCTTATGAGTAATCCATTTTAAAATTTGGGTTCATGGACTGTATTGGTATAAAACATTGACTTCTGCCAGTACTGTTCTCCTAAAACGTCTTCTTTAAGGCAAAGTGTATGAACCGAGATTTAGGAAAAGAAGTGGCTTTGTTTAGTCTGTAAACTACCGGGTTAATCACTGATAGGGGTCGGGGTTGGGGTTGGTCCTGCGAATTGTGTTGGGGAGGGGATGTTAGTTACCTTCCTGTTTCTTGGCTTTAGAATGCACCCTTAACTCTGGCCAGCCATCTTAGAAAATACTCCTGGTAGGAAGGTAAAAGGATTTGCAACTACATTACTGAGAAAGGTATCAAAACTCAGTACTGGGTCAGCGGTGTTCTTGACATAAAAGAGAAAATTTATAGCTCAACCGAATCATAAACTCCTTTTTCTAAGCTCATTTTCTTTTCTTTTCCTATCTTAACATCACTACATTCCTCCCTAGCAGCAGGCATAATGGCATGATTATGTTTTCCTCCATTTCGGGTTACTCCTCTCGCCTTGCAACCCCTCCTTATTCCTTTATCTCTTTCAAAGTTTCCATTCTCCTTACTTTTTACTCCCTCCCTCCTCCTCTTTTTTCCCAGCCGGCTCACCCCGCCCCTCACCGTCACCATCTTCCCTCCCCTTCAGGCTCCTTCCCGCTCCTTCTCCCGGCACCACCCCCTCCCTGCCCGCCTCGCATTCAGGAAACGCCAATCAGGAGCTCCGAAGGTGTCTCGAAGGCCCGCCCCCTCCTCCCTTTCCACTTCTCCCCCCCCCCTTCCCTTTTCTGCCCCCCCACCTCAAGTCCTGCGGACCTGGGGGCTTCGGGATCTGGGCGCTATGAAAAGTGTCTGCCCAGTCACTTCCGGTAAGGGCGTTGCGGCGCGGAGATTCCCGCGGGACTGTTCAGGAGGGGGTGGGAGTTACCGGTGCGCCGGGGGAGGGGAGTGCTGCTACGGAAGGGGAGCAGGAGAGGGAGGGAGAGCGAGTGCCAGCGAAGGAGCACGGACGTTTCGGGTACCACAGCCGCCCCTTTCCTGCCGCTTCCCCACGAGCCCGCACCCCCGCCCCTCGAGCGCCTGCAGTGCTTCTCTCCACCCCCCACTCCCGGGGACAGACAGCGCCCCTCCCTTGCCTCCGCGTGACCGGAAGTGTCGCCATCTTTAGCCTCTTGTGCTATTGACAATAACAAGCTCCGGTCCTCCCCCTCCCCCTCCCCCCAACCACGGCATCTCCCCTCCCAGAGAGAGGGAGAAAAGGAGGAGGAGCTGCAGCCTCACAGACTCTCTGAGTCGCTCCTGCAGAAAGGGGGGAGAGAGACCAAAAAGAAGGGGAGGGGGACGGCACGGCCGTTTACCTGTCTGCCTCCTCATTCGCTCTCCCCCCTTGTTCTGCTCACTCCTGGTGTCAGCCTATCCGCCTTCCCAAACCCTCCCATTCCCCCGGTGGAGCCCCCCCCCTTCACTTTCCTTCTCGTCCTCTGTGTTTCTCCTCTCTTTCTTCCCTTCCCCCTCTAGCATTGCCACCTTCTCTCCTACACGCACGCAGGCATATAAACGTAGGTTTTTGATGCTCGTCTGCCTGTTGACCCCGCTATTTTCATGTTTCCAACAGGTTTTTCTTCCCCCAATCCCTCAGCTGCTGCTGCTGCTCAGGAGGTCAGATCTGCCACTGATGGTAATACCAGCACCACTCCGCCCACCTCTGCCAAGAAGAGAAAGTTAAACAGCAGCAGCAGCAGTAGCGGCAGTAACAGTAGTAACGAGAGAGAAGACTTTGATTCCACCTCTTCCTCCTCTTCCACTCCTCCTTTACAACCCAGGGATTCGGCATCCCCTTCAACTTCGTCCTTCTCCTGCCTGGGGGTTTCAGTGGCTGCTCCCAGCTACGTACCGATACAGAAGAAGCTGCGTTTTGAAGACACCCTGGAGTTTGTAGGGTTTGATGCGAAGATGGCTGAGGAATCCTCCTCCTCCTCCTCCTCCTCTTCACCAACTGCTGCAACATCTCAGCAGCAGCAACTTAAAAATAAGAGTATATTAATCTCTTCTGTGGCTTCGGTGCATCACGCAAACGGCCTAGCCAAATCTTCTACCACCGTCTCTAGCTTTGCTAACAGCAAGCCTGGCTCTGCTAAGAAGTTAGTGATCAAGAACTTTAAAGGTAACCAAGGCCAAAATCCATAATCACCTAAGGATTTGACACTTGAGTGGTCACGTGCTCTATTTATGTTAATATATTAAACAGTATCGAGGTGGCCTAATGTTTTATGCATAATCAATGAGGTGGAGGGAGGTCCTTTTTGGGTGGAGGGTTCATTTTCCGAGGGTGGTTAGTATCCTTGTGCTGAAGCATACACTGGGTGTTTCTGTGCAGTATTTGGAGGTCTGTCTCAGCCTATTGTATCTAATCTGTTATTTCTTATAACATTCACAATCGATATGATTGACCCGGATTTTACAGGTGAGAAATTTGTATTCTAAAAAGATTTATTTATTTCAGGTACATAGTGAGCCTTGGCACTACTGGGATTTTTATTTTTATGCTTCAATAGGCCACATTATCTAGTCCCTAGAAATGCAGGTAGCAGTAGTGATCTTTTCATATTCAAACATGATTTTTAGTTAGATTTATAATGTTGAATACTACCCTGAAATTCATTGTGGAAGCAGTTGCTGGAGAAAAATATTTATGATCTTTGCATTTCTTTCCAAAGGTAGAGGTTGGAAGTGAAAAATACTGTGTATACACAGAAGTAGTAACTCTGTGTACCACTAGTCTAAAGATAGGAACAATTACTACATCTTTTTTTTTAATCACTGAAAATGGGTTTAAAAGTACTGACCTGGAGCTTTTAGGAAAATTTGTTCATTTTGTATTTGAGATATGTGATTGGGAGTATTATAAATGCATTGATGCAAATATAAAATCAGCGATTTTTAAAAATGTAATTGAGCTGAATTACTTTTTAATCTGTTGGCTGTGTTTCTGTTTTTCTGACTTTTTCAACACCCTTAACTGGCAAGTAATAGATGCTAAAATGTTTATTAAATGGAGAAGTGAAATGAATGAACTAAGGTAATATTTACCAGAGCAGTGCCTTCTGACTAAATATTAGTATTGGGAAAATTAGGTTCTCCATGCTTGTATTTTCAACATTAGTGTAGAAATCAGGAATATTCTCTACTTTGTCTCAAGCCAGAGGGTTGTAGTGTTGTTTATTTTTAACCTTTTCTTTTTTCTATCCCTCCTATCCCACCCCCAGGCTCTCAAGAGTGTTGTAATCTTTCTGACTTAATAGTAGACCTTTCTCAAGTAAATATGATTTGTAATTAACTAATATGTTCACTGTTTAACTTAAAATATATCAATTTAATATCCAAGGATTTTTTTTAAAGAGATGACCTATGTCCTTAATTGTATTTGCATACTGGTTTCAGAGATTCTGTTTGGGGTTTTTTTTCTCTCCCCCCTAAAATTAAAAACACATTATTAAGGTATTTGGATGTTTTAATTAAAAAAAATACTCACTGCTGGTCAATGAAATTTAAATTAAAGCCTGGATTAAGATGTTCTTTTCCATTCTGAAAGTGCTACATAGGTTCTGGAGTCGTTTGGATGTTTTAATTTTTTTAAATTTCACTCTGCTCATAAATGTAGTTTAAATTAAAACTTGAGTTAAGATGTTTCTCTTCATTTCTGTAGGTGCTTCGTAAATGTGGAGGGGGGAGTCAAACAGACCTAGATTAGAATCCCAGTCTTGCCATTGACTAGCTATGGTGACCTTGGGCAAGCCTTATTAATAATGAGTCTTTCAGCCTCAGTTTCCTCAGTTGCAAAATAGGGGTAATAATACCTTCCTTAGGGCATTATTAGGAAGATTAAGATGTTTATGAAGTGTCTTGTACATAGTAGGAACTCAGTATTTTAAATCTCAGGTATAAAATTCATATTGACTTAGGTTTTACACATGATGGAATAGGGTCGAGATTGTTATTTTTTATCTGTCGTTCTTGAATGTTAATTTTTTGAAGCAATATAGTCAATAGGAGGAAAAAACCCTCACCTTCAATTTTAGTGGGTGAGTCAAAATGATTTACACGGTATTCTGGCACTTCAAATTTTATTCCTTAAACTAAGCCTAAATACAGAAGTTACTTTAATATTTAGGTGTAATCATTATAAAGATCACAATTTACCCTTAAAGAGCAATAATACTGTTGTTATGTTTTATGGATCCTTTTCTTACTATAACCTACATATCATTCTAATAACAGCTTTTTACGTATCATCTAGATAAGCCTAAATTGCCAGAAAACTACACAGATGAAACATGGCAGAAACTGAAAGAAGCGGTGGAAGCTATTCAGAATAGTACTTCGATTAAGTACAATTTAGAAGAACTCTATCAGGTATGTATTAATGTGGGTTGTCAGATTTGGTTAGTGTTAATTGAGGTTCAGTGTATATGGGTTTTACTGTCTGAAATGAGTGCTTATGTAGACTTTTGGTTCCCTTCTAATTATAATTTCTCAATTAATATATACATTCTGTTTTATAGTTAGACCATGTATTCTGACATAAACTATGAGTACAGTCTTATTGGTATAAATTGGGCTTATCTTGGATCCTTCTTACTAGAATTTACAGTTAGGAGTACCTTGGTATAATAGAGGTTTTACCTATAATAGAATCCTATAACCTGGATCCCAAAGATGATTTCTGGTGATATGTCATTCTATTGTGATACTTCTTGCTAAGTTGTGTTACCTACAGGAAAGGCCTCAAGAAATGTAGAGAGTCTCAGTATACTTTATTCTACCTCTTCCTATTAGAATGCTTTTGCCATCTCATTTTCTTGCTCTTTATGTTTGTCTTATCTCCTGACCTACAAGATATACTTTAGCCCAAAAATGAGCAGCAGGTTGAAGTATAGCAACTTGGTCTGAGGTTCAGGATTGTCTCTTTTGCTTAACAAGCAAATCTGTACTTGACGTTTTTAACTTAAATATATAAATATGGACAATTACTTATTTAGACTTCTTACTACCAAGATACTTTGCCCTACTCTGTTTTTGCCACAACCAATTTAAGAAGTTTACTTTCCATTATAGTGCCATCAGTTTTGTATTTAAAAAAATGATTCAGAGCCCAATAGCTTGAGTTTTTGTATTGATGAATACCTCGTAAGAAATTATGTTAGTCCAGTTTATCAAAATTTGTAGTTTTCATCTATTCATTTTAGTTGTCCATGGTAATGGACAAACCTTGGATTAGGAGAAAGCAAAGAATTGGAGTCTGGTTTTGACTGCTTTCACCCTTGTGATCTCTGACAAGGTACTAAACTTCTAGCTTCTGTTTCCTCCTCTGTAAGTAAGGGGAAGAACACCTGCTCTATCTACCTCACAGGGTTGCTTATAAGAATTAAATAAGATGTTTGTGAAAACAACCTTGAAGCACTATGATATAGAAAGATAAGTTGGTGTTATCACTAGTTTAACTTTTTCACTAGCCACAGTATGACTTTTTTTACTTGTAATATGTAAATTGGGATCACCAGTTTTTATTGCTGTTTACATTAAATGAATCAATGTATGCCAAACACTCAGAATGGTGCCCAATACATGTTAATAATGCTATGTAATATTATAAGCATTATAATACTATGTAAGTGTTAGACAGTAGTAGTACTAAAGTATTATTTAAGGTTAAGCCCACCTCATTTGGCTATGTTGGTTTATTACATACGTGGCTCCTGAGTTGTACAATAATAAAAGAATTAAAGAATTAGAGTTGAAAAGGCCTTAAGAAACCACGTGGTCCCGTATCTTTTCTCGTAAAGGGTATGTGACAGCCTACAAAGTATGATTATCTCATTGAAGCAATATAGAAACCCTTTGTGAAGTAGGTAAGGTAGTAGTTATTTATCCTCACTCTACTGTTGAGGAAACAGAAGTCTCAGGGAATAACAATATGCCCAAAGTGACATATTGGCAGAGCAAGGGACTTAAACCAAGATGCTCAAGTTTCTAGTCCAGTGCCCTTTCACTAATACAGTATAGCACTTCGCATACCTCTGTAGTGCTGTGTTTGAAGCAAATAAATGGTTTTACTTTAGGGAAAAACTCTTTGTCATCAAAGAAGGAAATTTTTTTCATTCATGCATGTATATGGTGTTTATTTGGATATGTTGGCATACAGCATCTTTAATTTCAATAACGTGTTACTTTATATATTTCGTATTTATAACATTGATTGACTTAATATATTTTATATTTATAACATTGATTTATTTGTTAATGAACCCTTATTTTACCTTGAATATTTTTCTAGAGCTTTTGAGTTCACAAGCTATTTTTCCTGATAAATTAAGTTAAATTTCTTTGTTTCAAGAGCTTGTAGCTTACATTTTGTGTTTTTCCTTCCTTGTGCTCCAGAATTTTACCTGCTATTGTTCAGTTTCATTTCTTTAGCCTAAAATCAGTGTTATAACTTTTCACTCTTAGGGGTTTTCATAATGCTTTACTACTTCTGCTATAATAAAATCAAAAGCATTTGTTTCTAGTTCTTCTGTTGTTTTTGACCTTAACTTTAGAAATGCTTTTCCTTTGGATTGTTCTCAGAAAGATTATTTTGAGATGTTCAAGTTCAAAAAAGAGAATAAAAGTAAAATTATTTCATACCATCTGGATTTCAGGTGCTTGTTTGATTTTGACTGGTTGAAATGTAATTTAAAAATACTCTCCTAAAATTGAAACAGTATAGAAGTATGTAGTATACCAAACAAATGTAATATACCTCATTCCCCCATCCCACTCTCTATCCCTAAAGTAAACTTACTTGGCATATATCTATGATGCAAAGCCATTTTGCTTTAAAGCTTAAGCATGGAAGTCCCTAGTGTGGATTGCATATATTTCCTCCTCTAAGTTTTTAATTTGTAGAAAAGAACATGGTGTCTAAGTGTATTTGCAATAAGCAAACATTGTCTTTTAAAAGTGAT